CAAATGTCTGACCTTGCCTTCATGAGCATTAGGATCAAACGTGTTTTGTGTGCACAAGCAACCTGTGTTGTTGCTCTCAGCAGGCTGATTTCAGCTTGCTGAAAAAATAGCATTTATTCCATACCCAAGAGTCAACAGATACCTTCCTTTAGTTAAAGAGACAATGGCTTGAGTTTTAAAAGCTTGTTATTTGTTTCAAGTTCAAAGAAGTACATATTTCCTCACAACAGCTTTTAATATTGACCTAAAATAAATCTTCTTTCATCTGTGTTCTCAAAATTGTAAACACTGCACAATAAAGATGCCTATGTATCCATACATCCTGAACTTTTCTCAAGAAATTCTATATGCTGTCATTAAAAAAAGTTTATACATTTTACTAACAAAGAATATATATTCCATTTATAGAGTTTCTTATGTAAGAAAATTCCTGGTAAATAAAACACTTAGGTAATAAAATTAAAACAGTGTCACATGGGTTAGATTTGAGGTTGTTATGATACAATATTCCTGCTTTTATTTTAATTTAAAAAAAAATGTGTGTGTGTGTTAGGTGGGCCTCATAAAATCTGTGGGTTTTTAATTGCTGCCCTCTTGGTTTTCAGATACTTTAGTTTTGGTAGATTTTTAATCTGATATTCCACAAATGCAAACTGTTCATGTTGGTCACCTCAACATGGCTTTATTTTTTTGTAAGGTAGGTCGGTCAGTTTGTTGTAAATGTACAGTTATATTTTGAACTGTGTAGTGGAAAATCTCAAAACTGCACTTACGTTCCTAGTCTCATCTTATATAGTCATTTTTAGAGTATCTACGCAGCTTACAAGTGTGCTTTTGGTTTTCTGAATTCATGGGCATGGAGAACCTCAGGAAGATTGGGATGAAATGTTGGCTCCCTCATTTCCTTCTTGTATCTGACAAAGATTGGAAATCCAGTTTGGAACAGACACAAAGTTGTCAGCTTTAATGTTTACTGAGTAAGTTACTGGTACTCCTACAGCTGGTAATGGTTTATCCACCATGAAATGGCATTTAACTGCAAACAGCTGTACAGGAAATGACAGCCTACTGAAACAACCATCGTAAAATATTTTTGGCCAGTGAATTTTCAATTATAAGTGAAAATCTTATTTATTCTATGTATTTTCTTCTCTAGTGGCACTAGAGGTCCTATTTAGGATTCAAGATTCCACTCCTTTTAAGACTGTGGTCCTCAGCCTTTTCCATATCTTAAGGGTATCCTCTACCTATGGCCTCGATATGCCTGCAAATTCTGTCACTCTGCACAGTGCCAGGTAGAATGAAATTCCCCCTCAGCTTGTTGCCACCACCTGGGTAATGTTGTCCATGTTAGTCATTGAGGGTACCTACAGTGACGGAAAAATCCTTCTTTAGCAAAATCAATTAACAATGAGATACATAACAAAGGAAGAAAAACAAAATCACACCGTGAATTTTTCTGTCAGTCTCCACAATTAACCACTGGTGATCCTCTCCTGGGGTGATGGGCAGGACACTGCCCTTCCCCACTGTGAGCAAGGTTCTGGTGTTGTTCACACTGTCCCCTGTGTTTCCTCTCAGGTACCACAAAATGCATTATAGTGAGCACAGGGCTTTATAATAAGTTGGGGTGTACCAGCTTACCCAGTTTGTCTTAGCTTTGAAGAAGGTATCCAGGTTTGCTTCTTTCAGGGATGGGCCATTTTTAATTAACCCAAGGATTTGTATTAGAGGAACAAAGGTAAGAAAAAAACCCTCAAATGCTTGCAGACAATGAAGGGAGGAAAATTCAGTTTTCCAACCTGGGAGGAAGAGAGGAGGAAGAAATTCCTGACTGTACATCCAGAAGAAAAGGAAGATATTTCAAACTGTTGGAGCTTACACATTTATTTTCTACTAAGCTGGTCTCAACATTTCTCTTTCTCTTTTGCTTTGTGTTGAGAAATATTTTACGATAGGAAACTGGTTATTAATTTTACATAAAACTTTTGCTTTAATTTTAAAATATTTTGTACATTGGACTCCCAGAAACTTCCTGTGCTATAAACCTGAGAAGAGACTCCAGAGTAAGGATTATTTGGTTCACTAAGGGCAAACCATGCCTGACCGATTTGGTGACGTTCTATGACAAGGCTACAGAGATGGTGGATAATGGCAGAACAACTGATGTCATCTACCTGGATTTGTGCAAGGCATTTGACACTGTCCTGCATGACATCCTGGTCTGCAAACCGAGAAGACATGGATTTGACAGATGGACCACTCATTGGATAAATAATTGGCTGGGTGGTCACACCCAGAGAGTTGTGGTCAATGGTTCAGGGTCCGAGTGGAGAGAAGTGATGAGTGGCATTTCTCAGAGGTCAGTACTAGGACCAGTGCTGTTCAATGTCTTTGTTGGAGACATGGGCAGTGGGATTGAGTATATCCTCAGGAAGTTTGCTGGTGATACCAAGCTGTATGGAGTAGTTGACACCCTAGAGGGAAGGGATGCTATCCAGAAGGACCTTGACAGGCTGGAGAGGTGGGCCAATGCCAGCCTTGTGAAGTTCAACAAGGCTGACTGCAAGGTTGGCACAAATACAGGCTGGGGGAAGAATGGATTGTGGGCAGTCCCGAGGAGAAGGACTTGGGGGTAGTAGTAGATGAGAACTTTGACATGAGGCATCAGTGTGCACTTGCAGACCTGAGGGCCAACTGAATATGAAGGTGGTAAGGGAATGGGTTGTCCAGGGACGTTGTTGATGCTCCATCCCTGGAGGTTTTTAAGACCAGGTTGGATGAGGCTTTGTGCAACCTGGTCTAGTAGGAGGTGTCCCTGCTTGTAGCATGGGGGTTTGAACCTGGTGATCTTTAAGGTCCCATTGAACCTTAACCATTCTGTGATTCTTAAATTATTGACATTAGTCCTTCAGAAAAGAACAAGGAAATGGAAGTGCAGGGACATTACTGAAGTCAGGAGACCTCAGCTCTGTTTTTGTCTTTTCCTCTTTCTTCCATGATCTAGATAGATGTGTGTTTTGGGGGTCCTAATTCATAGTCTCTAATGAAAGTGGTTCTAAAAGTTGTCCCATTAAATGAATAAAGCAAAAAATACAATAATTTCTGGTCAGTATACAGTTTCCTTGTATGTATATTTAGCTACTTCTCTATGGCTACACTAATATTCAAAGAGTTAAATAAGAAACTTTTCTAATATTTATTAAATACTTTGCGCTACTTTATGAAATGCATTTTTTATTGTATAGAGACTGGAAATAATTTCTTGCCCACCTGGATTTGCTCAGAAAGTTATTTTTTTGATCTGTGAAATCCACAGCTATTTATTGTTTTCATGTGAAAAGCGACAGCTTTTGTTCTGTTTGGTTGGCTTTTTTTTTGACAGAAGAATAGGTTCTTAAATGTTTCCTAAAAAGGTGAAAACTGCCAGCATAGACAAAGGCTTGCCTTCAACTTATATGGACATATTTTACTTGAAAGCATGGAAAAATAATTTTTGGTACTGTAGTGTACTTCTGTTGGAAGACTTTAACGAGTTATTTTATGGCCTTTAGTAGGGTCTATTGCACATATTCTGTAAATTAATGTTCCTGACAGAGTACAATGGTATTTGATGCAATTTCTTTCATGAGCCCTAGTGCAGAAGTAACTCTGAGACTCTCAGAGGAAGAATTCACTGTCTCCTGTTTGCTTAAATATTTACAAGGAGCAAGTGTATTTCAAAGTAAGTGCTTGCTAAAGGAGGAAAAATGAACAGGTCATTTTAAGAAGTTGCAGCAAGAATCACTGTATTTTTAGAGATATAATATGTATCTCAGGTAACTTGTGCTTCTTTCAAAGAATTTAGAAGTAGGTCCTTCAAACACTGCACAAAATCAGAGTCCAGGGAGCTGTTAAGGAGGGGGAGAGGAATTAGGAGAGGAATTAGAGGAATTAGGAGCCGTTCAAAGGCAGGCTTCCCTCTTCCTTAAACCTGTGCATAAACCTCACCAATATAGGTTGAAAAGAATTTGTTTTTACAGATAACCAGTGAGTTAAAAAATGAAAGTGAAGTATTTCCTGTTTTTTTGCAGCTAGCTGCTTTGTTAATCTGAAGAATTATAGGACATTTCTTATTTTTGTATAATCCTTTATGGATTGTCCTAAAGAGCCAATACATTTGATAAAACAAATGGTTCTCCAGATTTCCTGTGCTGGTCATGTGTATCATTTTCCTTGTGTGAAAGTTCAGAGGAGATGAAAATGGCCTTCAGTAGCACAGCTTTTGCAGTGCACACCTGTGGACTATTTCTCAAGATCATTCAGGATAACTTCCCAACATTCCCTTAACTATTTTGACTGATACGGTGTTTTCACAGCACCAATTTGTTTACCAGCGTATATGACGGATGCCATACACTTTGAATTATTTTAGGAGTTAGTGTCTTCTGAAAGAGAAGGGATTTCAGGCATAGCTTTACATTTCTCAACAGCATTGCACAAGTTAAGACTGAAGAATAGACTACTTTGATTAACCCCTGATCTTCAGATGTTGACTTAGGGTGATGGTAGGTAAGAGATCCTTTTAGCTACTGTCTAAGAAACACACCCTACATCAGGCTGTCCTGTGGGGCCCAGAGCATATGTCAGCCCATTGCACTGAAACCTGCTTTTCTGCATTGTTCATGCATAATTCTGAGTTACATCAGCTGTGCATCTTCTTGGCACTGGCCGTAGATGCCAGGCTGACAAAGTGTTTCTTGGACAGATAAAGAAATGTGGAAGTCCCTGAGACATTCCACCATCCACAGTCATCGGTGCCATTTCCTCCCTAGCAAGTAGGTGAGATGCTGTAGCTGCTACTTGTCAGAACTGTGTTGAGCTCAATGGAGTGTATGTGGTGGAATTGAAGTTTTGTCTGAAGGTTGGCTCTCCATGGGAAATATTTGTGAAGGGCATGTCTGGGTATCCAATGTTAAGAACAGAAACTGATTCTTTTTTTTTTTTGTCTGTCTCTCTAGGTCTTCAAAAGGTGATGGCCATAGTGAAGGATATATCTTGGAGATAGAACGCTGTTCCTCTTTAAACCAGCTTACAGACAAAAATGAGATACCTGATTTTATTAAGAAAGTGAGTAAAAAAAAACAAACAAGGGGGAAAAAATCAAAACACAGTATGCTTTTATTTGCACTATAATTACTGCTTCTAGTTCTGTTAGTCTGACAATAGGAATATTTGTGTAGTTGAAACACTGAAGTAGAATTTGGTGGTTTGCAGTTGTAAATATCTGAAGGGCAGATATTGAGAGAAACAACTTTGATCATATTATTATGAGAAAATTATTTGTAGTATCACAGGAGAGTGACCATTTTGCAGATGGTATCAACTAAGCTACTAATGTAGAAGACAGTCCTATGATAGTGCAAACATCTTAAGCTGAAACAATATATGTAACTTCCATTTCAGTGTCAAAATATCCTGCTGGATAGTACTGCAGGTAAAAGGCCCATTAACTCCTGGAAATCGCCCAGATTCTTTAAGTTTTGTTTCAGTAGTGCATGATGTTAGCAAGTAGAGATGGTACTAGTAACCTAAATAGCTTGCCATCCAGAATACTATTGCTTTCAATCAATTTTTATACATATTGTCCTGGTTTGAGCCAGGATTAAGCCAATTTTTCTTTTTACTGATTTTTTTTTCCTTCAGTAAGCTTTCTTGTAGCTAGCAACAATGTGTTCTGCTAGGCTGATAAGACAGTGGAATGTTTTTCTAACTACTGAGGCTTCAAGGCTGCACCTGCACTCTGCCGGCTCAGACACTATGGGGAGATCTGTGACCCCCCCGTAGGAGGCTGAGTTAGACAGACAGCAAAATTGGCCAAAGATATTCCATTCCATATATCTACGTAAGCTGAAAGGAAGGTCAGAGATCACGGAAGACAACTTCCTTCCTTCTTCTCCCCTTCTCTTCCATCCATGGCTGGCGTCCGGGGAGGACTCTGTTCATCCATCACCGTCGACCCTTAGGCTTGATATCTCCTGACCCCTATAACTCTCTGCTCTTCTCCAGCAGAAGCTCCGGGATTCCTCGGGACTCTTCCCAGTTCAGGGAAGTGCTGTGGGAGTTGCTGGGGTGGGGGGAGGCGAGAGGCTTTTGCCCATACCTGAATATATATAATTGTATATATTTTCTTGTATCATTCATTAGTGTTTTAATTAAAGCTGGGTAGTTTAGTTTTCAATCCAGCCAAGTCTCTCTCTTTTTCTCTCTCTCCTTCCCTACCTGGGTTGGGGGAAGGGGGGATTGAGAGCATTGTTGTCGGACCTGAGTCAAACTGTGACACATATACAGGGGAATTTGAAAAGAACCCTGCAATTCTCTATTTCCTGCCTTCTTAAAATTATTTTTGATGCTGTAATATTCTGCCAGACTGGAAATTAGGAGGTTATGTACATTTTGGTGAAGACAGATTCATTGCGCATGTTTCAAATTTTGCATCATCTGTTGTGTCCTATTGTGTGTTATAAAACCTAGCATTAAATACCGTATTTACTTATTCACCTGGTGTAAGAAGAGTGTAAGCAGACACACTCCCCTAGTTTTAATCCATCTTGCAGTGATAGTAGTAAAGTAAATTCTATAGAAAAAAATTCAACACAGGCTGTATGAGCTTGATTTGAATTCAGCTTGACAGTCTGCACTGATGCTCAATCTTTCTCTTTTACTATGAATTGTAAAAACTGGATTAAAAATAATGCAGCTATGACTATCTGGTCATCATCATCCTCATACTGAAAGATGTATAGATTTTGGTATCAGAAGAAACTGAAGTTTTCTGAACACTTACTAGTATTTAAAAGGCTGAGTCCAAATTTCGTTTCAGGGTTTATGGTATTACTGCGTTTCTGTTCTGACACTACCTTTGATTATTTCAGTACAGTCACACTTAGGCAAAACTGGTGTAGATCTTGTGTATCAGTTTCAACATGTTTGATTTTGTTCTTCAGTTCTTTGAGTCAGAGTGGAAATATTGGCTTATCTGTCACAATTGGTGGCAAAATTTTATATCATTACAATGGAAAATTTCTTTTCATTTGTAGCTTCAGAAAGAGTATGGGTAACATGAGAACAAAATGACAATCCAGAAGTCAGCTAATTTCCATAAATATCCAATTCTGAGACTGTTTAGAATGCTTTTCTAGACATGGAAGTGTTTCTGTTGGTAGAAGCCATTTGATTATGGGGTTAGGAAGATGCCTTTTTGAAGTACAATAATTTAAATTTTAATAGCTAAAATGTTTATTTACTGTTTTTCTGTAGGCTGAGTATGTCGCTCATCCTCAGATGTTATTTGATGTAGAGGAATCTGAAGTTCTTTGAAGCTGATGCTGTCAAGTGTTTGCTATGCCTCTGTCTGTATCTGATTAAACACATTGTGAAAGTCTCAACACTTTTATGTAAATCTAACTCAGGAAGCAGGACTTGTTTGGGAGTAGGAATTAATTGTCATATTCACTAATTTGTCTGAGCAACAAAAATGTCCATTGCTTTTAAGGGCATATAAACCAGATGTTTATGAAAAAATAAATTAAAAATAAGGGGATGTTCTTCAAAGAAAATAGTAACAAGGAGCTGTTGGAGAGTAAGCTGTTGCTTACTTTCAAAAAAGTTCAACCCTGTAATTCTTCTCAAACTGTGTAATACAATTGAAGTTAATACAGTGTTGTAATTGAGTAGGCAAATCCTTGATCACAGGGCTTTTCATAAGAGACTTTTAGCACAGGTTTACCATCTTACTGCATTGCAAATTACTATATTAAAAAAAACAACAACAAATAGAGTAGCCATAATTTAGAACCCAAATAATGAGTAAGAAATTTCTTCAACTGTAAATTTACTAGAAAAATTCCTCTAGTCCGAAAAAATTAATTGGTTAATTTAGTAACTTCTCAATTGCTCGGTCCTGGCAAACACAAAACAATTTGCAGTGGTATACAGCATAAGTAATACCTTTTTTCTTCTTCTTCTGTGATTCTGTATAGATGTTTAAGAATAATGACAGAAACAAGGTAGTTATTTCACCTGGTGAGTGCTCTTGCTCGCTGAAACAATGTGCCTTAGTACAAGGTTGACTATAAAATGTTCAAGAAGTGTCAAAGACAACTCTCAGGTGAAACATGTTCTATGGCTGAGATACTCCTGTGCTTTGAAACTGTCCCAATTCTTTACTCGCTTCTGTGTATTTTTGCTGTGACTGTGGTTTCTGACAATAGTAAGAGCCACTGAAGGCTGGAGGCAGTTAAGCGTTGGAGAGATGATGTTGCATGGGATACACTTTTCCTGTACCTTAAGATCATGTTGGCATCACCACGTTTGGTTTGTTGTTTCGTATCATTTTGGATCTAGTGCAGCTCAACATGTCCTAAAGAGCTCAAGCAGCCTTGTGGCATCTTTGTAATTCCTGGGCAATAAAAGTGGTAACTTAACTTATGTATATGTGCTTTACTGCTATAGTGGTGCTAGCACTCTTTTCTTTATCTCACAGGGAAAACAGATTAAAGATTTGCTTATCTGCTTTTTAATGAATTAACTTCTCATCACTGTGGCTCAGATCATTCTGAAGTTGTTGCAAGTCAGAGATGTTGCTTCTAAAATACTGTATTTTGTAATAGTTTGACTTGTGTCTCATGTAAAATAGGGCAACCTCTAATTACTTCCTTAGTTGCTCTTTATTTCTATGTATCCTGTTATGGTTTTTTTAATCTGAGAATGTTCTCCTGAAGCTGCTGAGACAAGTAAGGGAATGAGAAGCTAGGCTGACACCCCAAGGAAAGTTATTTAGGATATGCAGTCATATATGAATGCCAAATATGTTTCTCATGACCTTTGTTTTCCACATCAATCTGAGTTACGTGCTATAGAAGAGCTGTAACAGGCAGAAAGTTTTACTCCTATCTTCACATCTTTGCAGTGCTGGGGAAAGGTTAGGAAATGGAGCATAGTTTAGGTACCATTTCTTCCCAGTTCTGCCTTTTTAAAATTTAGGAAGCACATCTTGGTGTCCTTGGTTGCCTCCTTAGTAATGTTCTGTCAGAAGGAAGTTCTTGCATGTTATCTCTTTTTCAGTTTGACCCCATTGCAGAGTTCATATTTTTTGTCCCTGTGAACTCATTATCCTTCCCTAGGGAAGCTTAACTGAAATCTAAATGCAGGCATCTTCCTTTTGTATTTTTGACTAGACAGAGGCCCTTCTGCTGCTCTGTCCTTACTTGACTCAGAAATTAAGCTTATTTCTTCTGGCAAACCTAAGGCCATACAGATAAATAATCGGTTTTGTGTTTTCAGAAGTGGGCCTGTTCAGCTTGGAACATTATTTCCATCTTTAAATACCTAAGTAATGCTTATCTAGTGATGAAATCTACTATATGAGACAGTGTGTGTCACATCTGCTCATTGCTGTTCTCTCTGTTCATAGTCTTGATGAAGTTCAGTGAGCATAAAAATGCCATCACCAGCACTAGCTCAAAAGCTGCCAGTAACATGTCACTCCTTTAAGTGGTCCTCCCAACAACTTCTGTAGTCAAAAGTACCGTAGAAATAATCTTGACTCCTGCAGATGCAGCGACTTTGCCTGTAAGTTTGTTGACATGTATTTTCTAGCAAGAGCATTGTTGGGCCAAGGAAGTGTTGGTAACGCTCAGACTTAAGTGAGTGGGACGCCAGGGAGAAACATGCCAATGAAACACATTGCAAGGATGCTGCCACCCATGTACTTGTTCTTGAGTTGCCATCTGAAACAGCGACCACCAGTTCTCCCTGATACGAAGGCAAGATACATAGAAAATTGGGCAAATTTGAAATAAAGGCTGTACAATACTAACACTTCTATGAAGAACTTGCATCCTACGTTGCTGAAAGGATCTCTACTATATTTGAGCCAGTTTTATGGTGTTTACTGGAATTCTTCTAAATGTCTTCTAAACAAGAACGCTATTGGGAATAGAACTGGCAGGAGGAATTATTATGTTTCAAGTGTTAGTTTCTGCACTGGAAATTAATATACTTTAGTATCAACAAATTTAAACTGTGCTTCAGCTTGATCAGTGTACTTCTGAACTGTGAGAGAGGGG